AAGCTGTCATTAATTTAAATTTCTTTTTGGCTCCTTGAACTGGGAGCCAGCCCACGCGGTCGGAGGCTTTATAAACATCCCGGGCGGGGGGATTTCCGTGGTGATGCTGCAGACTAGTAGCGTCTGTTTGGGGTTCGCCATGCTGCTCCCCTGCTTTTCGCTTCTCCCTTGCTGCCATCAGACCCTGACACGCTCCATGTCAGTGGTTTCCTTGGTCCTGCGGCTGAGCCGGTGTCCTCTGGCTTGTCGCCCTTGGATGCAGTTGGTGATTTAAGGGCTGAGCTGGAAGACATGGCCATTGCACCCACCCAGAGCTCATGGGTTTGGGTCGAGGCACTGGCCATCGGATGCTTTGCCTTGCAATGGTTTTGAGTGGTCTGGTGTCCTCATTAAAGGAGATGCTTCATGCAGTGAAAATCACCAGGGTTACATTTTTAAGATACAGTAGAGCTGCAGGAAAAAAAGAAATAAATCACTCAATTCAGTTTAAAACCAGTATTGGTAGAAAGCAATATAAGAAGCAGCAGATACAGGATGTCCTCGGTCCCTCCTGGGCATTTGGTTGTTCCCATCTCACGGTGTCTCCCACTCTGCACTGCGTTTGGCCTCGGGTAATTCCCAAAAAGGGGGGTTTTGCTTTTTTTTTTTTTTCTGATGGCAAGGGTGGCCCAAAGGAGCGGCAGGCATGGGGAGAGCCAGCAACAAGTTCAGCCCAGTTTTGTGAGTCCCAGGCGAGTGCATGGCTCCCTTTGGGAAAATGGATTTGGGGGTTTATGCTAAATAAGGGTTTCATATCCGGCAAGGTGAAAGCAGTGGGGAGGACGGCTGTGGAGCTCCTTCTTCAAGCTCCGCCATGGCAATGTGGAAATACCAGCTCAACTTAATAAATAAGATACTGTTGCTTCTGGTTGTGGCACGGGGCTGGCAATTGCTGTAAGACTGGAAAAGATGAGCAAGAAGGGGGACAAAAGTCAACATCAGGAGCTTACAGCACCCATCTTTGCCATGAACTGAGCCCCAGCCCAGCAGGCAATGCTGGGGCTGCACCATGTGAACTGCTGGCTCGCATAAAGTCCCCTCGGTTTCTCCTAATTGAACCTGTTTATAATTTAAGGGATGTAATAACAGTTTTCTGCTTGGAAATTTCCTTTGGGGGTTGTTGTTGGCTTGGGGTTTTTTGTTGTTTTTTTTTCTGTTTTGATTGCTCCAAACACTTTGGAAATGGTGACGCAGTGTGCAAGACTGGAGGATGTTTATTCTGGGGAGAGATGCTGCCCCGCAGCAGCGGTCAGCGGTGGGGGGGGATGCAGAGGGGATGCGCCTGCTGCAGGCGCAGGGTTGGGGGGGACCGCTGCCATTTCTGCAGGGGTTCAGGAGCCTCCCCACACACCTGGTTTTTCCTTTGCTGCAGCTCAGGTGATTCACGAGCGAAACTCCCCTGGGGCCAAATTTATAATCTTTCCCAGGATTATAAAGGGAGGTGAGGAAGGAGGTGTCGTAAGAGCTGAGCAGGTGATGGCCCGCGCGGGCTGTCTGCCCGCATCCGATGCCGGCTGTAGCACGGCACCCTTATCCCCGTGCTGCTCGTCCCATCCCCGCAAGACTCATGCAGGGGAGAAATAATTAAATAATAATAAAATTAAATAATATATTTTTTTTAATAATTAAAAAAAAACCCTAATCTGCAAATGTTTGCTTTGGCCCCGTGACAGCGGCGTGACGGTCCCTGAGTCACCCTGCACCCCTGGGGACAGGACTTGGCATGCAGAGATGGAATGGGGCTGGGGCTGGAGCTGAGCCCCTGCTGTGGGCCAGGAGGGGGAAACCAACCCCTTGGTGGGGGCCCTGGGGTGGGATTTCAGCAGGACAGGTGTGTGGAAAGGGGGTAGGATGCTCTGCACCCACCCTACCCACCTCGCTCCCTGCCACCAGCCCGAACTGCCATAAGAATGGTTTACCCCAGTTTTCCTAAAGATTACTTTCCCTTTGATTAGACAAACAACTTCAAGCCCTATGTCTTAATTTGATTTGAATAAGCCTAGCGCTTGCCGTGAAGTTCTTTTCCTCCCTTTTATTCCCCCCTTTTCTAAATCTGCTGTCACTGCTCTTCGTGACCACAAATGATTAAAAGCTCTACAGGAATATTGTTCCCCCATCCCTTAAAGTCCTGTTGTATTACTGGGGTCATATTTTTATTTTGATTTTTTTTCTTGTTGAGTGGTTTTCCCTTTTCTTTATTAAACGATCAGCCAGGTGAAAGGGATTATTTTTGTCCCGGTCTCCTGCAGAGCAGGTAGTGGGTATGGAGGGGGTGCAGGGACCCTGCCCCACTTCCCACTGACGTTATCCCAGGCTTTCTCTTCGGTTCTCCCTCTGGGACGGGATCCAGCTTGTGATTTTGCTTTTTGCAGCTGAGGGAGGAGCATCTCTTCCCCGTAAGTGCCGCTTCCCGTGGGAGGCCGTGGCCGAGCAGGTTGGTGCAGCTTGAGCTCTCCGAGGGGCCACAACCAGCCCCACCAAGGCAGGGACCGGCTCTCCAAAACACTGCCAGAAGGCAACAAGAACATCCATGTCGTAGCCATCATATTTAATAACAGTTAGGACACTCAGAAATATGTACGGGCAACAAAATAAGGCTGTTTTCCAAGTGAGTGCTTGTTGGGGGGGTTAAGAATGGAGTGATGCTCCCTGGACCGAGTCCTTTCCCGACGGCAGCCCCCAGGCGATGCCTGGGCCCCAGCCCAGCATTTCAGCTGCCCAGTGTTCTGCGGGCTGGGAGAGTGGCTCAGGGCTGGCATCAGTACTGGGCCAGCATCGGCACCGCCGTCGCCTCACTGCTCCCTGCCAGTTGCAACAAGGCATGTCTTAGTAACACAGCATCAATTAGAAGAAGGAATCTTGAGTTCCCTGCATCCGCAGGGCTGTGTGCAGGGAGCTGCTCGGGAGCTGGCATGTGAAATGGTCCCTCGTCCGTCTGTCCGTCCATCCATCCATCCATCCATGCACGAACCGCAGGGCTGGAGCAAGGCGGACCGTTTCGTGGCATTGCTGCAATCCTTCACGATGGTAAAGCTGGAGGTGCCTGGCAGAGCTCTGTCCCCAGGGTGGGATGTCCAGGGGGCTGTGCCAGAGGGTGGTAGTGCCCAGGCTGCAGGACCATGTCTTCGGTTTCCTGCTTTATTTTCCAAGTAGTTTTGGGTTCCCCCCCCCCCCCCCCCCCAAGATCGTCCTGGGGGAGAAGAGTAGTCCGTCAGCTTCGTTAAGAAGTGTCAGCTGGGCGTAAGAGGATTTTGCTGGGTGGCTCTCAGCATGGTGCAGCAGAAGTCCTGGCACGGCTGCGGCTCTGCCCTCCAAAAGCACCGATGAGACCTCAGTACTGCTTGCCTGCTCTCACCGGCCGACAACACAGGGGAAGCCAGCCTGGAGGACTCATCAAGAGCAATTTCTGAAATTCAGTCATTATTGTTTAACAGAGAATTGTCTCTACCCTCGTTAGCTTGTTGCATGGCCACATAACGGTGAGGTTTTGCAGGGCTGAGGGCATGTTCGTCAGCCCCCTGCCCTCTGCGTGCTGAGGCACCTGCAGAGATGCCGGCATGGGGGGACTTTTTATTTTGGGCCAAAATCCACCATTTCCCTGGTTGCGTGGGGCAGCACGGCCCTGCTTTGCATGCAAATTCCTTCTGCTTGGACATGGGTGTGAACCGGGGCAGGAAGGTGAATTTGGGTTTTTGCTGTTGACTTTTAACCCTTGTTTTCAGCAGGGCCAAGCGGCCGTGGTTATCGGCTGAGCCGCAAATCAAGTTACACACAGGCAGCTTCATTCATATTCCCCGGCTCCTGCCCGTCTCGCCTTGTTAGAAATTCTCTGGCCTCTTTTATCCGCTTGCGGCTTCAAGCACATGATTTACGATCCAGTTCGAGTGGCTCCTGAGCGTTGCCGGCTAATTTGCCACTCTTTATCCGCAGGATTAAATCCGGGCGGTGCGACGCTGCCCTGCGGATGGAGGGGTGATAGCTAGGAGGGACTGTGTTGGGTGCTGGGGGGTGATGCTGTATCAGGTGTGGGTGCCCAGTGTGGGAGTGGGGTGATTTATGTAGGGCGAGCCCCTGCCTCAGTTTCCCCTCCAGCATCGGCATGGCCATGGGTCATGGTGAGACATGTGCACTGGGGCACAGGGACCTGGCGCAGTTGCTGCACGTGTGGCTGGGCCCCGGCATTTTTCCCCCTTTTTCCCCTATTTTGCAGTGAGGGATGGAGTTCTCAGGGCTAAGCCCCTTCTCGGATGCGGGGTCCATGCATGCCGCCTGGTCCCGCTCCCACCGGCACGGTCCCCCAGGAGCTACAGGGTGGGATGATTCAATGACAGAGCCCCTCGCCATGAGCTGCCTCTCTCCCTTGGGATGAAGGCAGAGCACCCTGTGGCTTTGGCCCGTTTCAGGGACACCTTTGGGTTCCAGGCTCTCCTCTTGCCCCGGGTATAGGAAGCGAGGCGCGGGGACAGCTGGCACGGTGTCCTCGCAGGGACACGTGTCGCCCCTTGCTCACTGCTGCCTGCAGAGCTCGGTCACGGGAGCGTTCCACAGCGGCTTCGGCACCGCGTCCTTCGGCTTGGCACGGCCGCAGCCTGCTCATCCAGGATGTCCCGCCACACGGTCGGTCTGGTGCGCCCTGCACAGTGGTGGCATCTCCCTGGGGGTGAGTCCCAAGGGCAGAGGTGACCTGTCCACAGCTGGGACACGCAGCATCGGCCCCAGGGTTTTGTTATGGCTCAGCAGCATCCGCAATTATCTGCCTTTAGCAGAGGAGACGTGGGGAACATGGGGCTCAGGCTGGCCCTGGCTTCTCTCTGTGCCTCAGTTTCCCCTGTGTATCCATGCCGGTGTTGCGCCATAGTCCATGGCATATGCTGGTGTTGGGCTGCACTGGCAATGCTCAGCGCCAGCTCTGTCAGTAGCAACAATGGCTATACCATTTTTTTTTCTATTTCTAGGTGAATATGGCCCTGGCAGGGAAGCCTTTAGACGTGACTCTCAACACCTCCAGAGCTGACCAGTGGAATATGGTTTTTCCCCAGAAAGACGAAATCATCACCAGCTTAGTGTCTGCCTTAGACTCCATGGTAAGAGGCTGGTGGCATCCCTGTCCCCCCTCCCTCCTTTCACCTCCCTTTAATGGGGCTGGCTGGGAGCAGGACTGAAGCAGGAGGGCTGTCGAGCTCGTCCTGCTCCCCTCCGCTGCCGGAAAGCCCAGGGAGCTGCCGGAGCTGGGAAATAAAAATCCTCTACCGCCCTGACAGCCGTAAGGATCATAAAGTCAGCCCAAGTTAATCTCAGATGTGTATTGTTTTCCCATTAATATTTATGTTGGTATCAACTGAATGTAGGGTGGTTGGTTTTTTTTTTTTCTTGATGTTTTACCAATGTTACCGTGAGCTTTTACACAACAGGAGAACAATGGCTTTTATCTCCGAGAACAAAGAAAATAACTTTCATATCTTTTGACGTAGAATTCCTGATGGAAACCTTGCCTAAGTCAGCCGTGCTTACATAAACAAGATAACTGTCTGGATTAAGTCTCGTGGACCAGAGCTAATCTTATTTTTAACTGTGAATGTGATCAAGAAGGGAAAGCGGATGTGTAGTAACAAATATCTAATGCAATGCAACGTGCTAAATAGCCCTCCCTTTTTAAAGCCAAGTCATATTTAATGTATTTATCTTGGATGCGTCTTCTCTACGCAGGTAGGGTTTTTTTTTCACTAATACTAATTTCCTTCTTTTTAACCATCACCTCTCCACTAAGGAGCAGGTTCTCCGGAGCTGACGCACCCCAAGTGGCTTTGATGATTTATATACGTGCCATCCCGTACAGCAAATTGTGTTATCATAGTTTGGCTTCTTAATGAATATACATTATTCTGCAGTCCTCGTTACGTGCTGACACCAGGGCCAGGAGGCCAGGCTGCTCCTGAAATTCAGCCTTTATCCCAGCACTTCACCAGGGCTGGGCTCCGCACCCACTGAAGCCTGGCTGCCTGCGTGCGTGCTAAATAAACCACAGGGCCGCGTGCACGTCGTCAAGCAGGCTTAGGGTTTGGATTTGGTCTGCCTCCAAATCTCACATCCCCAAGATTTTGTATTTATTTTTTGAGTGTTGGGCTTTTTGAGCAAAATACTTCCATTGGCTGCTGGGTTTTTGAAAGGAGGTTTCTTAAAAATATCTATTTTTGGGGATGTGATTCAATACCTCCTTCTCAAAGAAGGTGAGCAGGAGGTAAAATGACCCAGTATAAAGACTGGTTTAAGCCCACGCAAATCAAACTTGCTGTAAATGCATGGGGGGAGCTGAAGGTAGTTCGGGGGGGGGTTGGTCCATGGGCAGCTGTTGTCCTGCTCCCTCCCCGGCTGGCAGCATCCTCCGGCCCCTCCGCAGTGCAGGGGGCAGGTGACGTGTCTACCTGGGTCTGCTGATGGGAAACCCCCCCCTGTTTTACCCATTTAAATCATCACCTGGGGATAGTGTCTTCATAGTGTCGGTGCTGTAGCTATGGGAATATGACTCAGGCTTCCAGCACTGTGTAACTATTATAATATAAAAAATAATAATAAAACCACATATACATGTGTATTATGTAGAGCAGGAAGCGCACGTTACATAAAATGGATTAATGGAGGAAGTCTTTTCCATGTCTTTAATGTTTTGCATAACTGTACAAGAAGAATCATTCGACTAATCCAGACTTTGACCATATTAGTGTTCTGCAGCTGAAATAAGATTCCCGTGCTCCTTATTTCATTAGAGCTGGTGGAAAAATATGAATTGTTGTTTTGTTTTGGTTTGGTTTTTTTACAGGAATGTTTTCTTTTAAAGAAATACTATAAAATGTTTACTTTTAGGATAGGAAAAAGTGAAGCAAAGTGATGGGTAAATAGTTCTTGTTTTCCAGCAAAGCATAGTTCAGCTGGATACCTTTCTGGAGCTGTAAAGTCACCAAAGTGTTCAGGGGATGTCATAAAACCCATGAAATTCTGACCCAAACCAGAACATTGCTTTTGATGGGAGAATCTTTTGACGGGAAGAAAAAAATCCCACTGGAAAATGGCAGGGGTGCCAAATGGGGATGCTCCTGCAGCTGCTCTGACCTGGTGCCTCCCTGCAGTGCTCGGCGCTCTCCAAGCTGAACGCAGAGGTGGCCTGCATCGCCGTCCACGAGGAGAGTGCCTTTGTGGTGGGCACCGAGAAGGGACGGGTCTTCCTCAGCGCCCGCAAGGAGCTGCAAGCTGACTTCCAGAAGTTTTGCAGTGAGTATCCCTGCTGGCGCGGTCTTTCCCTGCGCCGAGCTTGGTTGTGCCAGCTGGGACCCTCACCGTGCACGGAGGGGCTGTGATTTGGAGGGCACCGCAGTGTGGTTCGTCCGTGGTGCTGAGCGGTGTTTAAAGCGATGGAGAAAGCGGGTAGGAACTGCAGCCGGGTGCAGCCAGAGTCTCTCCTCTTCCATGGAGGGCACTGCATGTCCCAGCTCTCCTCTCCGAAAGCGTCCCTGGGGTGGCTTGGGGCTGGATGGCTGCTCTGCTCCCCCAGCGCTGTCGGCCTGCAGCAATGCTGCCAGTGTGCTGGAGTGGCTTTTGAGGACTTAGCAGAAATAGTTTGTCCTAGTGATCCCCCAGGAGCAGAGGGGCTTTCTTCGGCCAAGGCTTTTTTCCTGGTTTTGGAAAAACAGGGATGAATTGGGGAGCTGGGAGTGTTGGTTGTGGAGTTGCTTGATTTTTTGAGGGGCTAACAGTGGTGAAAGGATGCCTTGAGCAAGAGCTGTGGTCCCCTCCATCTCAGATCAGAGTCACTAGGTATTGCAGGGACATGTGTGACTAGCGGGAGGCCGGCACCCAGCCTTCCATGCCAGCTCCGTGCCTCTGCTGGCTCCCCGAAAACAGCGTGGGAGCTGCATGGGGACCTGCATTTCTTGCATGGCATCATCCCTGGAGTGCCAACTGCTGCTTTCCCCACTCCGTGCAGAAGCTGGAATGGGATTTGGCTTTGGTGGTGCGGGGGACCCCGGACCTGGGAGCACCCCAGACCCGATCTGCTTCCACACGCTGCCCATGGCGGGGTGTCGGTGGAGAGAAATGACCCGGCTATGTGTGCACACGCATGGTGTTGATGGAAACCATATTGGTGCTTAATCCGTTGGAGAGATGTCTCAGGAAGGGTTCACTCTAGTGAAAATATTAGCGCTGTAAAGCTGCCAGGGTCGCTGTCTGCTTGGGTTATTTGCTGCACATGTGCGGGGTGAGCCGGCACGGCTTTGCAGAAGCGGCTGTCTGCCAAGGCTCCGCTCTGCCCCCCCGTCCTGCCCGCCGTGGGCAGCTGCCTGCCACCTCCACCACACCACTTGCACCCGGGAGAGCTGTCGTTAGTTATCCTCTGCTTTGGTGCATTGTGTTTTGCAGGACAGGTGGCATTTCAGGGACGTTTTGGGTGACTGCCTCCCCTTCCCACCACCCACGAGAAGCAGGGAGGTACCCGAGTGGTGAATGGCAGCAGGGTGGCCAACAGGAGGGAGCTCCCTCTTATATATTAAATGCCAACTGTGGCTCCCTAGAGCTCGCAGCATTGACGACCATCTGCAAATCTCACTTTTAGAAATATATATACATACATCCTGGCTGGTGACCTACCGCTGTGCTGGGGCAAGGCACCCGACATTAGATCCTGATTCCCCTCTCCTTTGGTTTCATTTACACCTTTGTCAAAACGAAATGGTCACGTCTGGTTGAAAGCACAAAATCTGGATGATGGGGTTCAGGCAAAGCGGCTGATGCTGGAGACAGGGTGAAACGTGATAACTCTGTCTTGAATTATAAATGGCCCAGGCTCAACTCCGCTCCATAAAGCTCTTACAACTGGCACGCAGTGGAAAGCATCCCTGGAAGTGCCTCTGATTTATGGTCTAGCTGCCCCCTTAGAAAGGATCTGAAATAATCTAAAGCAGACATCGCTGGGAGATGTAAGAAGCCTCTTATCTCTGTGGGCGCGCAGACCTTGCTTGAACGCCCTCCTTTATCTGAACCTCTGGCTTAGCCTTTCCCAGTGTACGGGGGGACTTGACAGTGATCAGGATTAATGTCAACGGAGGAGAGTTAGCACCCAGCCGGGAGGGACAGTCAGTTGTAGGAGGGTGTGGATGCAGACGCATTTCACCACCTTGGTAAAACACCCCAAAAAAGTTTTCCAGGGCCCGTTTCCCCGTGCCATGGGAGGCATGCGGAGCTTGCCAGGGGTTGCGTGGTGTGGGGTGGCTGTCCCCTTTCTTATGTCTAGTTCTGTGGGTACCCTGGGCTGCTCTTGCCCCCACTCCAGTGATGTCCCAGCCATCAGCTCTTTCCACGGGAGGGATGCACGAGCTCCTCCTTGAGCGCCCAGGCAGCATCCAGGGCTCATCACCGGCAAGAGCCTGTCGAGGAAGATGAAGGAATTAGTCCTTCGCCAAGGAAAATCCCTTGCGAATCACTTTGGATAGAACGGCAATAGTGCACTTGTAGTGTTTAATTTTTTGTGTGTTTAGAGATGCAAGGAAGTCATTGCCGAAGATATGCTTTATTTGAGGTTTAATGGGGGAAATTAGCAGGAAATAGCTGGTATTACTGAGCTACGTGACGCTGAAGGGTAAAAAAGCCTCCAAGAAAGGCGGATTTTCTTTTCCTGAGAGATTGAAGGCTAAGCAGATTGAAACCAGAGAAAAGAAATGCGCTGCCCAATTAATCACAACAGTTTCAGTGCAGCTGAGTGGGTAAAACCAGGGAAGGGGGGGCACACACAGGATGACCAACCCCACTCCCAGCTGTGCTGCTGGCACTGTTGCCCATGCCAGCACGTTCCCCTGCATGTTGGGGGCATCCGAGTTGGGGGGAGCTGGGGTGGGTGGGAGACCCAGGGCACCCCCCTGCCCAGCCAGAAGAGTTTGCTGATGCTGTTGGGGCGGCAAGGGGCCTGCTGCCCACGGGACCCCATCTTGCCTGGGGTTTGGTGGCCAGGGATGCATTCAGCCCTGGCTGAAGTTGGTGTAACCTGGCCTGCGGGTTCAATCACTCCGTAGCCGCTCAAAACCTGCTCAAAATTGCCTGTGAACCCTCTTCTCACTGCAGCGTCTCCCATTTTCTCCTCTCCCCCCGGCAGGAGTCCAGCAGAGGAAGGAGCAGGACGCGGAGGCGCAGAAGAAGGCCAAGGAGTGTGGGCGAAGCGTGCTCAGGGTCTCCCCGGACCAGGGATCAGACGTGTACCTCCTCAGGAAGATGGTAGAGGAAGTGTTTGATGTGCTTTATAGTAAGAACCTTCACGCTTCCATTTGGGGATTTGGATTGCCCCCGGGGCTCGCTGAGCTGCCTGGCGCCACCGCCGGATGCGGCTTTCGGCCCCAGCCCAGCTCCCCAGCGAGGGAGCAGGCGCCTGGCAGGGCAGCGTGGCGGGACGCGCTCCTGCGTAGGGTTAGCATTGCATCGAGATGGGATCTGGCCACTGCTTCATCACTTTCCAGTGCCCCAAACTGGGCAAAAAAAAAAAATCCCCATGCTGGGGGGGAGCATCCTCCATCCCCCCAGCCAGGGAAGTCTGCCATGCCCTGAGTGCGATTTTCAAGCACACCTTTATCCTTGACACCACGTCTATAGCACCTCTTTCACAAGTACTGTGTCGGAGCTCTGCAGAGACTCACCCCTTTCCCTGGCAAGTCTATTTAAAAGGAAAAAAGATGATTTTTCTAGCAGGCGGCCCCGCAGCCCCAGCTCCAAGAGACGAGCTGGTGCCGTTCCAGCACATGCATCATCCCCGGCAATAAAGCTTCTGCAATTAAAATGTAGATGACCATATGGCTGTTGATATGTAACCCAGTGGGTTGCAGAGCTCCCTCCGGGCCCAAGCTGTGGAGACTCGAGCAGCGGCAGTGCCTGCTTCTCACTCAGGAGGTGCCCGCTGGAGCCCCAGCGGAGTGGCTGGAAGTAGCAGCCGTGATCCCGGCTCGTCCCCTGGCAGCACCTCTAGGGCCGTGCTGGCCCAGGTAGGAACAGCGAGGTTGGGTTGGGAAAATGGGGCAGTGAGCCCCAATATTCCCCTGTGCTGCTCAGCCGGTTGCATTAACCCAGTGTGATGCTTTAGGGGAGTTCAGGCTGTGTGGCTGGACCAGCTGCAGAACCAGGTGTTTTGTTTTCATGGGTGCAGCTCCCCGTCACCATTTGGGATTTGGGGTGTGCTACTGAGCCCTGCCGGAGCTGTGTAGGTCTCCCTGAGCCTGAAGCGCAGGCATTGCCCCTGTTTGTGTGCTGGGTTTGGGAATGGGCACTCCCTCACGATGGGAGGGGGATAATGGGTGCTCCCCCCAACCACCCTGGGCTCGCGCTCAGGATTTGCTGCTGCTGGCTGTTGTTCGGTGCTTGCCTCACCAGCACCTGCCATGGGCTTCACAGACAGAAAAGGGAGATGGCATCCCTTCCCCCCAGGGTCGGACAGTCTCTGAGGTTTTCTGAAACCACTTAAAGGACTTGAAGGCAATATTCCCATGAATGGGGGTAATCATTCTCTCGCTGGCTTCAAAAGGCTGGCCCAAGTGGGAAGGAGGGGGCAATGCAGAAGAGCCAAGGGAACGGGGTGTGGAGGGCGTTTCGGTGCTGGCTGGGTCCCCACTCTGAGCTGCAGCTCTCATTGTCCTGCTGCTGGGAGAGCGCCAGGCTTTGCAGGCATCCTGGGAATATGGGAATTATTCATATATGACATACCATAAATATGTAATTGCATAAAAAAGCTCGATCAGGGTGCACCTGCGTGGTGTGTATGAAGGAGGCAACCCATCCGTCGGGATGAGTTTACGATGCTCTTTACCTTGTCGAGGTGTGCGGATGTGCGCGGGGACAAGCTGGCTGGGTCCCCAACCCAGGGTGGCTGGCAATGCCGTGGCAAGAGGAGGTTGGGCATCCCTGGGCCGATGGTTTTGGCCCTGGCATTGGGTGTAGTTCTGGCTTTGGGTGTAATTCTGCCTTTGCTGCTGATTCAGTAGGCTCAGCTGTTTCCATCCTTGAGCCGCTCTATGGCAAAACCCGCCGGGCAGATGCTCCCCTCTCGGCATGCCCACAGGGAAGAACCTCTCCTGGTTGAGTGGGGAGAAATACTGCAGGAGATAGTAGGTGCCCTGGGGTGATTCTGTTTCCAACACCGAGAGGACTGTCAGAAATTAACAGTTATCTTTCTTATGTGTTTTTTTTTCTCCATCCTTTCAGTCGCCTCCCATCAACAGGGATTGGAAACAAAAAATCTTAGAAAAAGCTCAGTCAAAAAGATCGCGTATTCCCTCTAGAGCCTGGTAATCTCCGCACCAACAGGATGACTGATTACCACCGGCTTCTATTAAACAGGCATTAATGATGATTATTGTCTCTCTTTAGCTAAACCGTGAGCCTCTGCACAGAAGCGCGAGGCTTGGTGAAGGTCACTTTGACAGTAACGCATTCCCCATAAAAATATGTTCGGCGAGTTGTTGAGTGTCGGGTTGATAAGGAGCTGCTGTGGGCATCAGGAGCTTCTCCCCATCACAAAGAGAGGTGGTGGAGGGAGGTGGAAAGCCGCTAGAGCTGGTGCATCGGGGCAGGGAAACCGTCAGCTTGCAGAAAGTGTACTCACGGTGTTGTGGTTCAAAGGTTCATTTTGAAACTTCTGTTATTGGCTTAATTAAAACATTATCCCTCCTGCCTATAAGGAACCTTGATGGCTCATGCAAGCCGCACGTTATTAGTTATCACGCATTCCTTCAAAGAACATGTTGAAGAAATCACTTTTAATAAGGACTTGCTGACAGTGTCACAAGATTTCCAGGGTTTCTGTAAGATCTTTTGGTAGTGTTTTTTTTTTTTAAAGAAGAGATTAAAAGAAAAGATTTTTAAAGAAAATCAACAATATAAAATCCCACAGCTATTTAAAGATCCCATAATCTTCTCTGGCTGCCCCTCAGCCTGGAGACGAAGGCGCAGACACCTTGCCATGCAGCCAGATGTTCTGCATCTGGACGCTGCTTTGCCAGACAGGTCGCATTCCTGCATGGCTGTTTCTTCTGCTTCATGCTTTCAGCACCACATTTATTGGTCGCAGTGACTTGGGTTGGTTTCCAAAATAATTTTTCCACAGAGAGCAGCCTAAGGATTTTGGCCATTCCTTGAAACCCTTCAGAGAGGTCTGGTTTTCTAACGGTGTCTTGCCTGGAGAGCACCATAAGCATCCCTGGTTTGGGCATGTGGGCTCTTTAGCTGGTTTAGAAAATCTCTGTATAGCTGCGATGCTTGCTGGTTGTCTTCTGCTGCTGAGGAAGGGAAAGCAGTTTGCTTCTGACTCCTTGGGGAGATATTGGTGTCAGAGGTACAACGGAGCCAGCCCTGCGTGGTGGGGACACAGGGGGACTCTGTGGCCATTGTCAAGGGGAGCGGGTGAGATTTCTCGTCTGCTAGAGGTGATCATGCAGTCAAATGTATTGATGTTCATGCTGCCTGCAAATGGTGGGATGGAGGGAGACTGCTGGGGTTTTTTTCTTGTCTTTCAAAGTGCATTGAGGCTGCCTGACAACACTAGCAATCACAGTACTTTCCATTCTTCCAGGAGGTAAAATAAGAAAACTGACTGAAAATAAGGTTCTCAGAATATCTCAGTAAACATGAGATAAAAATCAGCGTGAGCCCTTCAGCCTCCTTTGTCAGCTCTTGGCTCCCTCCCGGCTTGCCGGCGGCCACATACCTCGCTGGCACACGTCTGGGCACTCCCGGGGGGTGAGCTTGTGCCAAGTGACCCCAACCGAGGATTTTACTGTGCAACCCAAAAGATGAGACATCTGCTTATTGGCTTTTTGTGAGCTTTTTATTAATTAGTGCTTAGAAAGAGCTTGCTGGTCCTTGTGTGCTAAGTGCAGAGGTAGGAAGCGGTTTTCTTCTCATAACGTTTCCATTGGGATCTCTTGCTCTTGCTTTTGCTCCTCCAGCCTGGCTCAGCCACGGTCGGGGGTGCGGGGTGTCCCTCGGTGTGTAACTCTGCCCCCTCCCCAGGTGAAGCCGTGGGGAAGAGCAGCGTGGTCCCTTTGCCCTACGAGAGGTTCCTGAAAGAGCCAGGCTCGCTGGCGGTGGCCGGCTTGCCTGAGGGGATCAGCTTTAAGAAGCCCATGGAGTACGACGTGAAATCCCTGATGGCCATCCTAGAGCACAGCCACAGCATCCGCTTCAGGCTAAAAAGGTAATTTTGGGGATTCCCAAGGGGCGGGAGGGCAGTGAGCCCTCGGGATGTCGGCTTTTATAACACCAGCGGATGGCAGAGAATTTGTGCGGAGAAGGTGGGAGGGTCCCTCCCATGTCCCGTCTCCTTCACCAGACCCAGAAACCCGGGTCCAGTTGTGCCAAACCCCAGCCTGGCACAGAAGTTCATCAGTGTTGGGTGGCTCGAGACCGTTCTGGACTCGTTCCTATAAGTGCGTGTAAACGTGCACATTGACCGCATTGCTTTACATATCTCCGCCAAAATTTCCGCTGCGGTAAGATAAGTGCTTTTCTGTCTCCAGAGGGGTTTCCAGAATAAATGCTGCAAGCTTCTTTCCAGGCTGAAATGGGGTTTTTAATGCCAGACGAGGAGGGAGGCGGGGGACTGTGACGGGGCAAACTCCCCATTTTGGCCATGTTTTCACAAGGAGCTCGGTGGTTTTGGGTGCGTTTCCTCTGCGTTTGCCTGGCTGGCGGCACCTCGGATCCATTCAGAGAAATGCTGAGTGCTACCAAATACCTCCTCTGAAGGCTCGGCACTTCTGGAAAATCAGGCTGAGACAGCTAAAAGTAGGACACGCAGAATTCGAGCCGTCTGTGAGCTTGCGGCCGCCTGTCTCATGTGAAGCACGTGGGTTTCCTCGTTCTGAAGCTCATCCCTGAGGTGCCCATTGAATGTGTCATGGGTCCTGGGGGCTGGGGCAGGCAATGGAGTCAAGTGGTTATGGTCACACAAATTGTTTTACTCCTGAAACGCACTGGGCCGTGGAGCTAGGCAGCTTTGCCCTAGCTATTATAAATGCTTTGAACCACCGTAAGACCAACTTGCTCCACTTAAAGAAGACAAAAACGGTCCGGGTGCCTGAAGAAGCTGGAAGAGGTTGGGTGATGGCTGTAATTTCTGAAACAAAGAGCCCGGCAGCCGGCAGTGCAGCACGGCCCGCCCTCCTGGGCACGGCTCTCCTTCCCTCTCCACATCCTTGCTTGTCCCAGCTTAGCAGTGCCACAGACCCAAAGGAACCTGTTTTTTCCTCCTCTTCTCCCTTCCCTTCCCCTCAGGCCGGCGGAAGAGCCCAGCCGAGAGCCGAACCCCAGCATCGAGTTGACTTGTACCTCCCTCGCCTCCAAGGGCGGCCGAGACTCTAGTGCCAACGGCCCCATGGCCAAACCCGCCGGCCAGGACGCCCCCTCCGCCGTCGCCGTCACCAATTTCTTATACGGCGTCTCGCTGCCGACCCAGATCGCCGTCGACCTAAAGCAAGAGGTGTCCTCCGGCCTGCCTGGGCCGAACGCGGCCGGCGAGGTGCTGCTGCCCAGGCCCGCGGGAGAGCTGAAGGTGCCTTCCTCACAGGAGTACAGCGACTGCTGTGGTAATAGCCTGGAGTTTGCTCTCAGACGAGGGCCTGGTGCGAAGCCCACCCCCCCGGCGCTGACAGGGGACAGGCCCGGGTGTTTTGGTGGTCCTCGGATGAAAATCGGTGCAAAGCTTGGCCCGCGTGGAGATGAGCGGACGCCCCCGCCGTGCCGCGCCGCCCCGACCCTTCCCTGGGTGCCTCCGAGGTGCCGACGGGGCGCGCCTCCGTTTCTGCCCTGAAACGCCGGGTGCTGCGCCGCGAGGCTGGAGGGGCAGCCGGGGCGGGGGGACGGTGGGGGCTCAGTCTGGCCAGGACCCCGCCGGGTCGTCACGGGCCAGGGTGCACGGGGGAGAGCCGGCAGGGTCGGGTCGGCATCACCGGCGGGGGACAGCACCCGGGGGCTTGTTCGGCTGCCCGGAGCGTCGGTCAGGCTCTCATCAGCCCTTTCTCCTTGTCTGCCCTCTTGTCCAGGACAGAAATCATCGGTCTCCGGAGGTCCCCTCATCCAGAACGTGCACTCGTCCAAGCGGATCCTCTTCTCCATTGTCCACGACAAGACAGGTCTGTGTCCTGCTCCAGCATTTAGGGCAGCCAGCAGGCACCTCTTAGGGAAAGGTTTTCCCCTGGCCCCGTCTCTCCCCAGCGGTCTCCCAGCCGTCCCCATGCTCTATGGGGACCTGGCAGTGCTGGAGATGCTGCAGTGAGGGATTTTGTCCCTTTACTTGCTGCAACGTCTCAGCATAGCAGTCAAGACCTTCATCCCTGCTCGGGTCCATCCCCGCCATCCTCACAATGCTTGGTCCTCAAGCGCTGCCGTCCAGCTGGAAAATCCCATCTCCGCTTCATGCACAGGGAACCGAGGCATGGCTTTGGGTGAGGCCGTTTGCCCGAGCTGCAAACAGCAAATACCCGACAAAAGCTTGGCGTTATTTCAAAATAACTGAAACCCACTAACCCCAGCGTGATTCTGCAGCGGTGCCCGGGGGGGATCAGCAGTGGGGAGGAGACTCTTCCATTTCCCCACCTCCACCCCACCCAAGGAAATGCAACCTAAAAATGCTGATGTGTTTACATCAAAACCCTCTCCTGCCTGCATTAAAAAGAAGAAAAAAATATGGGTGGGAAAGTTGGGAAAGAGAAGGAGATGAAAAAGCTCCTCTGTGAAATGGCCGTGCCTTTCAAAGGTTCGTTTCAGGTTGAGTTTGCTCTGTCCCGGAGGGTCTTTCATTTCAGGGTTGAGAAGTTTTATGGGGTCATTTCTTAGGAATCTGCTTTGCACATGCATGGCTGCAGAGGAGGTTGCTTGGGGCTGAGGCTGGGGCTGGGGAAGCCCGGACCTTATCTGCCAGCCTGGCAAAATCCGCTCAGGAAGAGGGAAATCATTATTTTTAAAGCAGCAAAGTCTTGTTCCTGCTTCCCAGCGCTTTGTGCGAGAAAAGTGCATCTGCTGTGTACGAACCATATGGAAGTTCCTTATTTCTTATATTTTGTTTTGATAGATAAGTGGGACAGTTTTATAAAAGAAACTGAAGATATCAACACCCTTAGGGAGTGCGTGCAAATTCTGTTTAACAGCAGATATGGTGAGTAGGAGTTAATATCCCATTATGCATCTGCAGCGCTTGTGGTTTGCATATCATTATATAGCAATCATTTTTGTTCCCTAACACAGCAGCAGAAGCCATATGCTAGAGCTCCCTTCTCTTCCTAACACATTTAGCCCAGCAGTTCCCAGTCTCTGGGTGTCTGCTGAAGGTTATGTCAATATTTCCATTTGGAGCTCCCCCCACTGTCGAGGAATTTATAACTGGGCTGTAAAACAGCCCTAGTTTGAAGCGTGGCACACCGGGTCACAGTGCCCGGGCACTGCCGGCGCTTGCAGGCGACGGGAAGCAGTGGCATGCGGCTGTTTTAAATTAACGTGGTAGGGGAAAAAAAGAATATTGTCCTTATGGCAGCTGTGTTTTTCCACCTGCACAGCTTATGGGTGTCGTTGGCGCTTCCCTTGCCACAGGCAGTGCTTTTGAGTTAGTTTCTGGGCATTTGGGCAGCTGTAAGCTCAGGAAATTGCTTGGGAATGGGTTGACGGGCTGGAGGTTGTCACCTGTACCATCCTCATCAGGCTGTGTAATTCATGAGTTATAGACGGGCTATAAATATGTGCTGTGTAACTCATGAGTTATTTATGGCCTATAGATGAACTCTGTAACTTATAAACTGTATATGTGCTATGCAACTCGTGAGTTGTATAGCTCAGCGGCCTGCTGCGGTCATGCAGAAGTTGGGGACGGCACATGGGCCAGCTCGCCCCTGGTTTGAGCAACACCGGGCACGTTTGGGGGTTTTGGAGGACACCGTTACCTGTGTTTGCTGCTGCGTTGTCTCCCTGTTGTCCCATCTCCCACGGGTGAGCTGCTCCCGGGGCTCACCTTCTGGGACAAGCAAAGGAGAAGAGGGCAGGAGGCACTTGCTGCGCTTGAGTTCAAGCCATTACACCTTCATTTTATCATCCGTAAAAGGAATAGCGCGTATTTAAGTGAAAACCATGCATTCACCTTTCAGCTGAAGCCTTGGGGTTAGACCACATGGTCCCCGTCCCATACCGGAAGATTGCCTGCGACCCCGAGGCGGTGGAAATCATTGGCATCCCAGACAAAATACCCTTCAAAAGACCTTGCACCTACGGCGTCCCCAAACTCAAGCGGATACTGGAGGAGAGGCACAACATCCATTTTGTCATCAAAAGGTGGGTGGCAAGGAAGACAAGGGAGAGTGCATGGCCTTGAGAGGGCTCAGGGATTTAAGCTGTGTTCCCTCTTAGCTCACAGGGTTTGTTTGGACACCCAAAACCCATTTTACCCTTTTTTATGGAAAAGAGCTAAACAGCTCTTTTTTCTCCCAAACCTCTGTTTTCCATCGCTCTCTCCCTTTTTGCGAGGATGTGGCAGGACTGGCTGTATCACTGTCACCTCTGAGCCCCACTACCCTGTTTTAAGTCCATGCAGACATTGCTGGTGCCACCCTAAGCATTTTGGGTGGTAACGGGACCCTCCAATTGTGGCATGACTCTCTCCAATGGCATTTGGCAGATGGGAGCGGTGCCTCCAGGCGGGAGGAGGAACATCTGTATTCATGACACACCTCCACCTTGTTTTGTGGTGATCACTTATGGACATCCTAGATATACAATGATGAGGACGAATCACCTACAGGCAGGGCGTTGTGTCTTGGTGTCTGCATTTGCACTGGAGTAGGAGGAGTGGACGCTTTCCCGGTTATCTCTGCACTGCGCAACCCCTCTTTGCTTCTCTGTCAGGAAAATCTGCTTTATAATATATTTATTTATTAAGTCCCTGCCTGTGCAGCACTGATGTTGTTCCCCTGCTAGAGGTGTGAAACTACGGCGCAGAAAACCCCTGGCTAAAGCTCCCAAGGGAGCCAAAATCACCGACATCGACAGGACTTAGGCATCCTGGAATGAATTAGCTTTCCAGATGTCAGCCAGTGGAGGAGCCACGTTGTCCCACACAGCTTGGGCTGCGCCAGGCTCGATCAGGCCCTGGCGCGTGGCCCTGAACACACTTTGCTCCTATGAGCAAAGTTGTGGGTGGCACCAAAATACAATATTCAGGAGACAGGTGACATCTGGTCGATGGTCTACACGGTGAAGTGAAGTGAAGGTTCAGCAATAGCTACTTCGGTCCCACTGTCTCTGTTGGTAAAGCCAGCCTATAGCAGCTTCATTTAATAAGTTAATTAAATTAAGAGAATGACTTGTAAGCAGATTTAAAGGTGCTTTACTTAAAAAGCATATGCTGTAATATTGCTTGGTTGCACAACAGGCTAAAAGGCTTTTTTTATTTTTTTTTTTTTCCTGAAAAATTCATTCCCTTTTTTAGAGAATGAATAAAATGACTATTTTGATTTGGCTTAATGCTGTTCATTAATAAAGCCTAAAATTCAGTCATTAGAAGCACCTATTTCTAATCCCTTTTTTTCCCTTTCCTCCTAGGATGTTTGACGAGAGAATTTTTACAGGTACGTTCTCCACGTCCTTTGATTTATTGCCCACAAAATTGAAAGATTATCCAGAGAAGCAGAGTTGAAATAATGTCACCTGTAACCAGCAAAAGTGCAGGACACATGCAGTTATGATCAGTGAGGAGAAGCACACCCGGGCATGCTGAGATTGCCTTCGCCTGGGATCGGTGCAAGCACTGTGCGCCCCTTAAATAGTGTTTTGAAGATTTAAGTGAGAAATCCCTGGTGCGTGACGCTGAGATGGCTCCCTGCTTGGCAGTGTTAGGTTTACAGTTGGACTCAATGATCTTCAGGGTCTTTTCAAACCTAAATGATTCTATGATTCTACAGGCAGCACATGGCATGCTTCTGTGCTTTCAGGAGGAAGAAAAATCACTGCTGGGTTCCTCACTGGTAAATTATTCTCTTTTTGGCTGGGAAGTGCTAGCATCATCCAGCCACTGACTGTTTTTAAAAAAACAAAAATCCATCTTTTCAGTGACAAAACCCTGGGCAGGGGTTTTCTTCAGCTTTTTTTGCCCCATGTTTTTACTCCTTTTGCCTTGAGAGGGAGAAGCCAGGCTAAGTGCTTCTTGTCAAATAAAAGGAGACAGGCACCGGTGCAGTCCTACCTGACCCTCACTCCAGCAGCTGCCCCCATTCCATCGCCCTTATACCCACCTGAAATATGGCACTGCACCCAAATTTATCACCACCCAGCCCCGCTCCCGGATTGCCTGGGCTTGGCTCGCAAGTAAAGACATGTTTTGGGGTTGTTGGTTGTTTTTTTTTTCCCCAAGCTGCCAACCCCAGGTGCTGGCTTTCCAGACACCACCTTCTCCTTGGATATCTCCGCCAGCCAAATTAACCCTTGTGGCCCTGGTACAGCCCCAGCCCCAAGGGTGCTCCCTGGGGATGATGACACCAGAGCCACCGAAAGGGGACCTCCAGCAGAGCCTGGAGGGTGTCCCACCTCCGTGGGGGGGTTTCTTTGTCTCCAGCCCCATATAATGACTTTGTTTCTCAAGAAAAGGATTTTTTAAGCTTTAACCCACCCCCAAGGGATGGAGCACTGAACTGTGTCTTAGGATGCTTGGCTTTTCCTTGCAAATCCATCATGGTTGTGCGGTATCTGTGGGAGGCATTACGTACATCTGTACCTCAGTTCAAGAGCTGCTGGTGGAAAGCACCGTGCTATGAGCTCAGGGGTTACATGGCAGGGAGGTGCAAGTGGAAATTAGGAGATGAGGAAGCAAACCCAGCAGGGCTGGGGCGGATGGCAGTTCCCCCTCCCCTGCCTGGTCCCTGCAGGGCTACCAGAAGCAAAACACATTAAACCTGGCTTTTTGTGATTCGCGTCAGCACATCTGACTGTGCAAAAAAAAAAAAGCATCTGCTGAGTCAGGAGGTGCCATTTTTGCAAAGACACTATTTTCCGAGCGGAGCTGTATTTTAAATTGCCAATTGCAAAGTATCCCAAAGCTTCCCCATACAGTTGTGCTCACCCTTTAATTAAAATACCCACCACTGCTAGGAAACCTATTTTTGCTACTCCCCTGGGTAGCAGCTTCAGGCGGGCTTTGCTGCTGCAAGAACAAGATTTGGTCCATAGAAAGCACAAATTAAAAGGAGCCTTTTGGACTGTCAGTAGATAAATAGTGTCTTTAAGGCTCTATATTGCTGCTGGTCCCATTGCCAGAGCCCTGCCCTTCCTTGCAGGCTGGAGCCAAAAGGAAAAAGGCTTCATGTTCCCACGGACGGGATATGATTTGGAAGGGTGGGGATGTCGCGATGGCACTTTGAGACCAGCGAAGGGCCTTTGGCAGCAGCTATTTAACAAGACACCTACGTGGTTTCTGCAGCCTCACGGTGTAATTTCATTCCCTCCTTCCCCCAGCACTAATCCTTCAGCTCTTTGCTCACTGTCCCTGCCCGATTTTCATTTCCTACCCTGCCTTCAGATCACTCTTTTCATCTCCAAGGTCACTGCTGAGGCTTCGTTTCAGCTCCTTTCAGGTTGCTGAGGAACAGGGAAGAGAGAGAGGAGGTTTTTCATGGTGACAGGATGCTTTTGTCCCCCTCCGCATTGCTGCAGCAGAGATTTCTCCCGCTGCGTGCAGGGCTCGGAGCTGTGGGATGGGGCTCGCTGTGGCACTGCTGCTCTGGGCTTTGCCAACCTCCCATCCCCTCCCTTGGGACAGGGCTCTCTCCACTTTGGGGCTTGCTCCTGCAGCACTGGTCCATGGTCCTGGCCACACCTGGGTTTCCCGACCTCAATCCCCTCCTCTCTGCACCCTGTCCTGGCATCCAGCCCTTTCCAGAGATGCTCCATTCCTGGCAGGACTTCCCAGAGCACACTTAGTTATGCAGAGGTTTAAGCAAAGTTTTGCTATTATTTTAACGTGTAAACCTGATTAAATCTGTACCCTTCTCCTTGCAAGCAAGTGACGCTTGATAACCTGTCCCCTACCCTGACCTCAGCTCTGGGACTGGAGGGGGAAAAATGGAGGTGGAAAAGCTGCATCATTGGTATCTCTGGTTTCTAATTCTGGTTTTGCTTTTCCTTCCAAACCTGCCCTGTGCATCCGGCACCAGGAAGCAAATTTACCAAAGATCCAACCAAGCTGGAGCCCTCCAGCCCCCCTGGGGAGATCTCCCCCGAGCCGCACCGCGGAGCCATGCTGGACCTGGCAGGGACCTCTCAGGCCAACAGCAGGTAAGTGCCACTCCTGTCCCCCGGCCGCTGCAAAGTGACATCCCTCAGAGAGTTATTTTGGAGGCGTTAATGTGCCCAGCACGTCATCGCTGTGCTGTGGGCTCGCACGTTGGCTGGGAAGGACGGGCACAGGAGGGTGCAACGGGTGCAATTCAGTAAGATGCAGCATCGGGGAGATGTTGTAGGTAACATGGTGGGAAGGCGAGCAGCTGTAAAGGCATTGGCTTTCCTGTCTCCCTAAAAACCCACTGCGATGGTACAACTAGCTGGCACAGGAGGAGTCAGAGCAGCCCTATCCTTTCGTGAGCCAAAATAGCAAAGTTTGGAATCATTGATTTTGTACAAAACTGATGAAATCAGGGCTGTGCCCGGGCAGGCTGGCTTTATCTGCAGGAGCACTCTCCAGTCTTAAAGCATGGCCTAAGGATTCACCCTCAGTCGGCACCATAACACAACATCCTGCTAATTAAGCGTTACTTGTTTATAAAGCTCACAGGGAGACTAATAGCGGATTAGCAGATGTTTTAATAAAGGTGGGGTTATAGAGTTCAGCAGGGCAGGAGGCTTTTTATGAGAGTACCTGCTTCTGGTATAACCATGCCACAAGCTAGACTGGTCTGTAATGTCCTGGCAGGGCCTGTGGAGTGTATAGTGCTTCTTTCCAACCTGTGCTGGGAGATCCAGAAGGTATTTTCCTCTGTGTAACCTCAGTTTCCTTCATTTTTGCTTCAGCTGGTCAGAAGCAAGGTAATATTTAGCCCCAACATTTACCTTTAAAATCACTTTAAATAAGAGAAGCAGGGCAGCGGTTCATAGCAGTATAACTGGTGCTCACGGGCAAGGCTGCGCTGCAGGGAAAGGAGCCTTTTCCCAGCCTTGTCCTGCACAGACGGCTCGGTCATGGATGGGTTTACAAGCAGCAAAATGAACTTTGCTGGGATGTCTCTTTGCACACCCATGCTGGAGGCCACCGCCTGCAGGGAGGCTCAGGACCACGGGTGTAGGAGCGAGTGCTCCTCAGCCTCTCTGGCACAAAATCTTGCTGCCCAGTGCTGACACCTCTGCCAGCTGCAGCTGCAGACCGTGCTATGGGGTTGGTAACTTCTGCAAGCCAGGATGGGGAGATGGGGTAACTTGCGCCTGTCTCCTCCATGGCATGTGTGGGGTTCCCCTCTCTCCTTGGCTCTTTGTTGACATGAAACCGCGACAGGTTAGAGACTCCTTCTGGTTCTCCCCAGTGCTGTTTCAGGTTTGTCACCTTGGATGTGGCTGCCGTGTGCCTCTAAGCCGTGCTCGCACTGGGTGGGGGAACGTGCCACATCGGCAGCATTAGAGCAGGCAGTGAGCGAGCCTGGAGGTGCACCAAGCACTGAAATCTCACAGCTTCAGAGGGCAGAGACCTCTTGAGCTGCCCAGTCTGCGGGGCTGGCAGTCATCACCCAGCCCTCTGGGTATCTTCAGCTTCAAAGGAAGGTTTGGGGGTGGTTTTACCCCATGGGGTTGGGATGGCTCTTGCACAACGTTGCTGCCCCACTGCTGCAGGACACCACCGCGTCCCCTCCCAGACTTTGTTTGAGCCAAATTCTTCTCATCCTCTCCTCCACCAGGGATGGAGTGCCGGGAGCACCCATGGGTGTCACTCATGCCACATGCTATGCCACGGTGATGTTTCCTGCACTTTGCAGAGGCTGACCCCACTTCCCTATGCCGTTGGCTGCGAGTGCAATATAAGCCGTGCCACGCTGGAGCTCCGATGCAAGGCAGAGTCAACCATGGGCATGGGAAGGGGGTTAAGATGAGCGCATGGTTGGGTTGGCTTGCTTGGACCAGGTCCCTGTGGGTGATGTTGGTTTGCTCTGTGCATTAATATTGTATGTGGGTTGAAATGGTCGGTGCTCAGTGTGCAGGTGCCACCCCTAAAGGACAGCACCCTCAAATGCTGTGCTGGTGAAGCAGAGTCGTGGCACCACGGCCACTCACCTGCTCTGCTGGAGGGAGGCTGGTGGCAGATGCCTTTGGGTGTCCATGCCGGAGCGGGGCTGGCTGTGCCACTCCAGAACCTTTCAGCAGCAGCAAGCTCAGTGCACTGGGTGAGTCAGCCCTTTCCAACCATTTAAAATGCGTTGGAGGAATCACACCCCACAAGGTGCCTGTTTCTCTTCCTGATGATGAAGGGAGTCTGGATGAGAGCCTCAGCCAGAGAGGTCTGCAATGGGAACTTGTCTGTGCTGGGTCCCGGCCTAAGGCGCTTCACTGGTGTTACAGGGAATTAAACTCAAATCTCCAGGATCCTCAGCTAGGGCTTAGCTGCAAAACCATTCTTCAGCCATTTTTTGCTTTCTGCACCTTGCTGAATCGCTCCATGTCTGAAGGCATTTAGACTCAGGGACCAGCAGAGCATCTGCTGCGCACTGGATGCCAGGGAAATAGTGATATACCGCTGGCCTCTAAGCACGCTGCAGGGCTGAAACCTGGCCTGATGCTTCTCGTTTTCCCGTTCATTTGTTAACATTTGCAATTAGGACCCTTTTAATTTTTACAACAGAAGATCCCACTGTGAAGTTAAATTGGTGTGACTGGAAACAAGAATGTGGAAGGACAGAATATTAGGGATGCCGAGCTGGGTTCTGCAAAGCAGTGGGTAGATAACCAGCCACCCTGTGTCTGTGGGAGCATGCCAGTGGGGTAGGAGCTGAGGTTTGCCACTGCAGAGCTCCAAGGGCGCTGGAGGCTCATGCTCCCTGTACAGCCCTCACTGACGCTGCACCAGCCTCATCTCACCTGCTGCACTCCAGCTGTGGGCCAGGTAGGGGTTGCACGGAGCAGTAAAACCACTTTAGAACACCCTATGGGGGAAAAGTAGTTTTTTTAGGGGTGGTTTGTACCCAGCCAGATTCAGATCACCCTCCCCATGGTGGTGCTGTGATGTGGACTGCACTGGGCTGGGCTGACCACCTCCCACTGGTGTAAATCTGGCACAGCCTTAAGATCACTCTGGGGTCCCTTTCGAATTTTTCCTAGCTGTGTCTATATATGCCTTGTTCCTGATTTACACTGTGTGTGTGCACATTGAATCGGGCCACAGACCCCGAGGTTCATATGTACCTCTGGTTAAAAAGGGAATAATGAATTGCAGTGATGGTGCACAGCTTGCTTTGCCTGCCACAGGGGTAAACTTAAATCTCCCCAAAATCTCCCAATGCATTGATAACACCTATCTGCAGGAAAATCTAGGTGGATATTCAAATCCCACTTTGTTCTTCCTCCAAATGAGGAACCTCTGTTCCCTGGTAAGAGCAGAGCATTTCCATAGCAGTGGTCCACCCAGGTCAAAGTCGAGTTCCAGGGAAGGGGCAGTGCCAGATCCAGGGAGAAGGGCCAGATACTGCAAGTGGTAACGCTTTCCCTGGGGAAACCCTCCTCCCAAATTTCCCTAGTGAAAGGTTGACTTTGGCCCAAAGTGGGAGAATTTAAAACCCTTCCCAAGGCTCCTAGGTAATATATACAGTACTTTCTAGACCAGAGATCCTTTTTGCCCGTTCCACATTTAGGAAGAACATTTCAAGAGCGCTCCTGGCTTCCTTTGCATTGCCTGTAGTTTGTTCTGCTGACGCTGCTGAGTGGATTCAGGCGAGCGAGCAAGTGCTTTTGAACATCCCCCTGAGCCAACAGGGATGTGGTGCTGGCTCAGAAGGGTTTTCCTTCCCCCTGAAGGACCAGCGTCATGGAGGAGTGTGTTTTCCAGTGCCGTTCCTTGGCTCCCTTACTGCCAAAGAGCCGTGGTTGTTCTTGTTTAAGAAAGAGGCAGAAAGCAAATGCGTCCTGAGAATGCAAAGTAATCTCATTTGGATGCTGAACACCTTGTGTAAATTCCTGAGCATGCAAAGTTAACTGTAGACACGGGTTTGGGATAGTGCCCAGTTTTCGGGGGAGAAAAGCTTTGAGCAGAATAAATATTTACCAAATCAATTGACTTTTTTCCTTTCTCCCTATTTGCTTAACTCCATGAGTAACCACATTGTAATGATGCTTTATGCACTGCTCTCTGCCACAAAGGGATGAAGTCAACCAGGTTTTGGGCTTAAAACCTTCTTGCTTTCAGGAGCTCTCTGCTGCGGTTACATCCATCGGTGTCTAGAGGCAGGGCTGCGATCAGCGGTGGTGCAGGACCAGGGTGGGTTTGGGAGCAGGGCCTATTTGCAGAGAAACCTGCAGCCCCTGGCTTTCCCTTGCAGCCATGGATGCCGTGCCGCTGCTGGGACCGTGGGTGCAGTGTCCCCGGGGACCTGTCCGCAGCCCTTGTCTGCCATCACAGGAGGCTGCAGTGTTTCTCCCTCCTGCCAGGATCAGTCCTATGCACACCGCTGGGTTTTAAGCTCTCTCTTTGGTTGCTCCATGACCACCTCTCTTGTCTGCCTTTCCCTTCCAGGTCCGAGAAGTGTAGTGCTTCTGAAAGCTGTGAACCAGGTGAGGAATTATTGATTTTCTCTTGCAAAATAGTGGTATTGGGGGGGCACTAGAGAAAGCTGCCTGCAGAATAACTTGGATGTGTGGTACCAGTTACCCGGTTGCTCCACGGTGCAGTTCTCTAAGGACTTTATCCCCATTCGACAGATGCAGAGATGAAGGGTCTTACCCTGTGACCCTCCAGCTGGGTCCAAAAAGTGTGTAAATTGAAATAATGAGGCTTAAGCATGTGCTTAAATGTGAAGCTAAGGGAACTCTTCAGTCTCTGAGTTCCGTTCTTGAAAGTCACCACAGCTGGGTCACCGAGTAGTCAGCGGTGTCAGTGTTCTGAGCACCGAAAATGAGAAGGAAATGCTTTTTCCCACATTTAGGGGCTTGGACCCATTGAAACGCCACACGGAGCCTCGCTGTCCTACCCGCCCAAGCTGTGACTCAGCCCCTTGCAATGAATCAGTCCACCCTAAGGGAGGAAATTTATCTGGAGATAAGAGGCAGCTGGGCTGACTGAGCACCGTGGGCAGCATCCTCCCAGGGCAGTTTCTGCGAGCTGGCTGGTCCAGCACAGGCTCCCATCTGTCAGGGTTCAAACCACGCTGTATTTTGCTGGGGTTCAGCTGGTCGTATCCTGGCATGATGTGCCTGCGGTCGGCCCCCCCGAGCATGGGTATGCAGCAGGGCATGTCCCACTCATGAGTTTGGGACCATTAAAAATGCCAGGAGTGCCTGCTGGAGGCAGCTCCTCCTGTGTCCCTACCAATGCTTGTTGGCGACCCAGTTAGTCTTCAGTGAAGAAGGCCAGGAAACGAGCACATAACGAGGGCCAGCAGCCAGTTTGAGGGCACCAACAGCTCCTGCCAGCTGAGGTGTTTGCAGAGGCCATGCCCACGGGTGCTCTTCGGGTACCTCCGTGCCATGGGCTTGATGCTGCTGGACCACTTGGCTGAAGCCTCGTTGCTGTGGGATGCTCAGCTGGCACTGAAGTCATGGCCAGCCACAGTTTCCCTGCCTGTGTTGGGGGGCAGACACGGCATTGCTGGTTCCTGTTGGCGATTGCCTTTTGTTGCCTTTCCCTGGTAGGTACCTCAGGAGAACTGGGTGGGATCAGGCAGATCAAAATCGAGCCAGATGAGCTGGACATCATCCAGATCACTGTGCCAGGTAAGCAATGGGGTACTGGTTGTGTGCAGTGGCCTCTGTGTGAGCAGGGCTGCTGCATCGTGTTTCGGCATTTTGCTTTGAGAAGAGGCGTTTGCAGGGTATCTCCCAGCATGGGAGGTCCCCTCGTGCCCATGCACTGGTCTTTCTTCCCTGAAAGTCATTTTAAGGGGCATATTGGGAATGAGCTGGTTTCCTGGGGGCAGTGGAGGGTCTCTTTGTTGTTTCTCCCTCTCCTTTATTGCTTTTCTGTCTCGCCTTTCCCCTGGAGCAAGCGAGCCCGGTTTGCTGCTTTCCTTCATGTGTGGGCTTGAAGGATCCCAGGTAACGGGTGCGGGATGCTTTTGATGAGGTCCTGAATTTAGAAAAACAGCCTGGTTATGAAGAGTTTGTAAGAACAAGTTTAATATTAAGCACATGCTGAAAATGTGTTGGAATTGGTGGCACTGATGCATTTCGCCACGTTTCTGCCTGGAGAGGTCAGTGGCGATGGGTAGTGATGGAGGTGAGCAGTTGGGCGCTTGAGAGACAGCTGGGAGAGTTGTTTTCCACTTAGCTGACCTGGACAGTGGAGCAAATGGTAGGATGATCCTCAGAGTTTAATGAGTGGATAGTTAGCACTTTGCATTTTCAGTGTGCTTTACAAACATTAATTAATAATCTCACCAGAATGAGGGCAGCAGCAGGACTCGCAGCATGCCTGAGGGCGAGCGATGCTGGGGACAGCAGTGACACCCGGCCCTGCTGCACCAGTGCGATCTCTGTTGCACCCGAATTGTAGCAGTCCCCTTCATAAAGTGATACTTGGGGAGTCACTCCAGATTATCACCGAATGGACTTAACATACAGTTCATATAGTGGAAGGAGAAGGAACAAGGTATAGTGGTGGATCAAACATTTTCATTTTCAACTTGGCAGCTAATGGAAGAGAAGAAAGCTAATGCGTGGTGAGCTGGCAGTGTGTGTGAGGAGGAGGAGGAGGTGTTATCACTCCCCCAGTGCTGGGTAGATCATACTTCAAGTCCAGAGTCCACCTTTTCTTACCTTATTTGAAGATCAAGTTCAATCAGAGGGAGTACAGCTGAGGGCAGGGAGGAGGAATAATAGAAAAGAGGTGTTCACCTACAGGGAGAAATTGGTGAAATTTGGATTATTTATCCTGCGAGGTGATGATTAAGAGCTGACCTTACTGAAGTATTTAAACTAGCTGAAGGTTTATTTAAAGCTAAATTTGGATAGCTCTTTGAGGATGTTGGAGAGCCCAGCATTAGGGGAGACAGGTTAAAATGAAGAGGGTGTACAGATTACGTAAGGGAAACAAAAGGAGGTGTGATTTTGGGGAGGAAGGCAGCCTGAGTGGAATGGTTTTCCCACAGAGGAGTGGCTAAGTCAAGCAGCATTAACTTTTTAAGCCAAAATTGAGTGTCTAGATGGAATTAAGCCAAGTAAATAATTTTTAATTATTTTTGCTCTTCACCTTCTACAGAGGTTAGGAAGAAACTTTTGCTCCTTTCCCTCGGGCTGAAAGGGCAGGTGTGTTTCAGGGATGAGGTCCGGGTGGTCCCGGGACGGAAGAAGGCAGATGCACCCCTGGAGCAGCTCCTGGCGTGGGGCTGTGGTGTGGGGACCCTTTGCTCAGCCCTTGCTGATGGGCCAGGACCCTCTGAACCCTGTTTTGGGGATGATGCTCCTCAGCATTGAAACAAAAGCTGCCCGTGGGGTTTTGTCCACAGACCGATCGCCCGGTTCAGATGAGATGCACGACCCGGTGCCCACACACATGGCCTCGGAGGAGACGAACTACATCCTAGAAACGGTAGCAGGTACCAGAAATGAAGCATCCAAGAGACTGTGTGGGGCACAAGAGTTCGTGCGTGTGTCAGAAATGAGTAAATACCATTTATGAGCCAAGGTGATGGAGTCGGGACCTACTTTCAGAGTTGTGGCCTCAATCAGGCCAGCTGGGAGCTGGTAGACAAACAGGTGGCTTTTCTGGCACCACTGCTCCTTCCCAGCCCCTTTCCAGTCCCAGCATGCTGCAAACCCCGTTCCTCAGCCTGGCTTATTACTGGGATTTACCTGGGGGATTTGTGCCGGCACTGCGGCCAAAGGGCAGACAGACCTCTTGGATGTAGGCAATGGGTTTATTCTGCTTATGCAGCTCCTGGCATGATGCTGCCAGTCCGAGCCTGTGCTGGGATGCGTGCTTAGAGCTTAGTGAGGGGAAGGGGCAGCTGAGTGATTGTGGGGGACCCAGAGAACTCCTGCTCGTGTCTGGTCTGGTTTTGCTGGTGCCAGCCACCGCTAACCCTCCTCTTCCTCAGCAGGGACAGAGAAGGGGCCCAGCGAGGAGTCACGACATGAAGAAAAGCAGATGGAGGGATCAGGTGTGTGTACGCTGAACTCTGAGCATCACCCATCATTGCAAGTTTCTGGAAGGATGGATGAACACAGATGTATTTTGGGTTGGGTTTCGTGGGCTTCCTACATTATCAGCAAAGCATTCAGCCTCCATAAAGCTCAGGGTAGAAGGGCACCACCATGTTTCTGGGCTCTGTCTTCCCCTTTCTTGCCCGGATTTACTTTTTCCCCTATTTTTTTTTTCCTCCTTGCTGCTAGCAGAGTTCTGTGGCAGGTGCATTGCTGTCCTTCCTCGCTCAGGGATGAGCTTGGAGGCAGCTGCTGGAGGACCAGCACTGATCTGGGAGGCATGAAGAGCACGTGGCTGGCTCTGCCAGGGGTCAGGGGCTGCTTGCCTGGGCTGTGTGTTGCTTGCCCCAGAGACAGCTGGTTTCTCAAAGCATTTCTCTCTTTCTTTTTTTTTTTTTTTTTTTGCAGATGGTATAGGGGATGTTTTAAGTCATTTGAGGAAACAAGTTGAAATTTTGTTCAACACGAGATACGGTAAGATGGTCATTAACACACGTTCATCATGCCGAGTGCCGGCCTCTGCTGCAGGGAGCTCCTAATTGCTCAGAAATGTCACCTACCATTTCCAAAACAGCAGCTGAGTAAAGGTGCAATCTAATTTGTTCATTTGCTGTCTGCTGGGTTTACAAATGCATTTGAAATCTCCCTGGGCCTTGTTATTGCAGCTCTTCCCCTTGGTTTCCTCGATGCCTTTTCACTGGCTGCAGCCCAGGAATTGCTGCCGTGACCTTCAGCCTTCCTCCTGCGGAGGGAAGGACCAAAGTGATTCCCTCATCCCTTGTTTGAAATATCTGAGGTGGTCACGGCATGGCTCCAGAAGGCTGGTGGGACCCCAGCGCTGGGGGCTGGCACTCAGCATGCTCTGCTCACCCCTTTTTAGAAAGGTTATTTAACCCAGAAAAAACACAAGTGAGGTCATATGTGCATTTTGAGAGCTGGCAGAAAGTTTTTGCCACTGGCAGGACCAGGAGATATGGGTCTGCCTGGCAGTCCCCAAAAGCTGGGGGGAGAGCTGAGCTGCAGCCCCTGGGCTGGGAGAGCCCATTGTGACCGGGCAAAAGGAGAGGGGCCGAGATGCTCTCGGGCAGGGTTGGGCACTGGGGATGAAGCTGGAATGGCCGGCAGAGCGATGGTCCTTGATGTACCCCACGTTTTAGTAACAGACTAGGAGTCCTCACCCACACTTGTGGGATTTTGTTGGTTTTTCACCTCTGGCCAAACTGCACTGCTTGGCGCTGGCTGTTCGGTTGGTTTTTGGCAATGTTTAGCAGAGCAAGGGGAGCCCTTGCTGTGCCGGGCTGCACAGGCTGGCAGGGCACCCCTGGGCACGTTCCTTGTCCCCTCGTCTAGCAGAGGGACATCCATGGAGATCTGGATGTGGGGTCCCATTGCCTTGTGGAGAGATGCTTGCAACCTTTATAGGAAGCCCCTTTGATGTGTGCCACCAAAAGGTAGGCTGTGTTAACGCAGCAAATGCAAAAGCCAGCTCCGGGTGGTTGCCTGGCTCTATCCCTGACCTTGTGTCCACCAGTATCAGGGACATCCCCACCAGGCACAGAGTGACAACAAACTCCAAACCTACCCCCCACTCCCTGCCAACATATCGTGTCGCTGCTGCTTTGACCCGACGTGGAGGTCCAGCAAACTAATGAGATTTGGTCCCTGTGCAGCGAAAGCCATAGGAATATCAGAGCCGGTTAAAGTTCCCTACTCCAAGTTCCTGATGTACCCCGAGGATCTGTTCGTTGTGGGCTTGCCAGATGGCATCCTCCTGCGGCGCCCCAACTGCTTTGGGATTGCAAAGCTGAAGAAGATCCTGCAAGCAAGCAACAACATCCAGTTTGTCATTAAAAGGTAAGGCAGGTGGTGGACTGGCCACCCCTTGGGGAGGATGTTCCTGCTTGGAGCTCCTGCTGCTGTGCTGTATCCTGGGGGACATCCATCACTTGGTCACCTTCAATAAATTTGCTTGATTAGAAGCAGCCAAGGCTTGTTGCCTTGTTGGAATCATCCCTGAGAGGCAGCGGTGGTGGTGTCACCTCTCCCTTGATGTCTTTTGGGGTTTTAACGCACTTTTGCAAAGGTTTGGCCACAGAAGGAGGGAGCACCCAAGGGTGGGTGAAGGAGCCAGAGCCTTTAACCTTCAGGGTGCACATCTGTGCCTCAGCGGGATGCTGCAGGCATTAAGGAAGATGCTGTCCTTGCGCTGGAGAACAGGGGCTGTCACAGGAGCTGGGGGTACTGTGAGAAGCCACGACCGACATACAACAGCATTGCCCTGAAAGAGGGAACGGATCCAGCAGAGATGGATTTAAAAATGTCTTTAAGTATTTTGGGAGGTTTCTCACCCAAATGCTGACTCAAACTCCCTTGCAGAGGAAAGAGCTGATGCGACCAGTGCGTCGGGCAGCTGAAACAGAAAATAAATGTTGGAAGCACAGAGATTTTGTGGTGTCAAGACCAGCAGCTCCCAGGCCAGCCCAGCCACACTTTGGGGTTTCTCCCACCCCCATCCCAGACCCATTTCTCTGTGAGGCAGCTTCAGCGCGGCTCGTAACAAACCCTGCTATTGCCTCGCTGTGTGGTTTTAGCATTAGATACCCAAGTGACAATTTTGGGGGCCAATTGAATGTTGAAAGGAGCCGTGCACGGCTTCTCCCACCCCTGAGAAACATGCAGGACCATGTCTCCTAAAAGTCTCTAACCACTGATTTAAGCTGCTCAGCCATTGCCAGCTTAATCTTATCCTGGGGAGCATTGCATCAGCTCAGTAAAGAGTCTGTCAGCATGAAAATTACTTCCAAAGTTCCTCTGCTGCATTGCAGGAGCTTTAAAATTGTTAGCCAGAGATAGTTAGTGGTTAGTGGCTGTAGGAGTGTTGTCTGAGGGGATGCTGGAGCAGCGGGGTGTTGCCGGCCGGGGAGCTCACTTGTGTGCCCTCTGCTTCTTGCTGTTTTCCAGACCAGAGCTGCTGGCGGAGGGCATAAAGGAGCCGGCGTCGGACAGCCCGGCAGCCAAAGGTAGGCTGCGAGACGCCCGGCAGCCGGGCCGTTAAGGACTAGGTAGGAGAGGAGTGAGAGCGTTTCCCTACAGTGCGTCTCTTGCCTTCCCTCCCCACCTCGTTTCTTGGCTGGAAACCCCCTCCTCTGCGTCCCCCTTGGTGGCACCGCGAATCCTAACTCCTTTTATGTCCCCTGTCCCAGCTGCCGGCGAGAGGGACTCGAGTGAGGTGCTGCTGGAGGACACTGTGAAGAGACAGGGCTTTCAAGGTGAGGGCCTGGAGGCATCTGAGGGGGGGTTGAGGCAGAGCCCCCAGCCCGTCGCAGGGGCTGTGTAGAGCAAACAGATATGGGAAAGGAGCTGCCGCGGGGCATCAGGGCTCGGTGGGTTGGCAGAGGAGCAAGGCGAGGCAAGGATGGGAGGGAGGAGAGGGAGAAGAGGAGGAGGTGGGGTGAGAGGATGGGAAGGACAGGCAACCAGAAGACATGATCCACAGCTGCGGCGGGCAGTCCCATAGGTCCAAGGAAGAGGCTCGAAGTGCTCTGGATAGTGCCCTAATTAACCAGCTTTGCTTATCTCGCCATCTGACCTTGCAAGATGCATAATTAAGTCTTCCAAGCCTCGGGGTTTGCCTTTTCTAGGGCTTTTTCCACCTGGGTGATGTTTGTCTAAACACAGCTCCTGTCCCACAGCCAGCATGGTGGCTCCATTGGGGAAAGGAGTGACGGTGAGAAGCCCGTGGGCTGTGGGGGCAAGTGCTGCCCTGCTCGAGCATCCCTTTTTGTTGGGCCATGGGGGCCTGCAAGGGTTTGCAGAGAGGGACAGGAGGCTTCAAAGGCTTTGGCTTTTCAGAAAAGCTTTGGAGTGCATTTTATTTTTAACGCCGGTAATTATCACAACTGAATCTTCGATTTCATGCAGCTTTTATTCTTGGCAAACAGGCGGGGGGAAAAAAAGAATCATATTTCTGTTTAGATTATTTTTAAGGACTTTGAATAGCCCACTCCAGAGATTAGCTAATTGCAAGATAAGGACTTTCCTATAATTAGAAAATGGCATTACTTAAAAGTCACAGAGTGCCTTTTAATTTACCAGCAGAAGTCCATAATTGTTTCTTTATTTTACAGAAAATTATGATGCCAGGCTTTCTAGAATAGACGTTGCTAACACGCTGCGGGAACAAGTCCAGGACCTGTTCAATAAGAAATACGGTGAGAAACCAAGGGGGCAGTTGGTTTTATTCTCTCCTTATCCCCTCCTAATTTTTTGCTCCCTATCCCTCCCCTCTCTTCCCGATTCCTCCTCGCCAAGTGCTTTCTCTCACCTCCCCCTGGAGCGGCTGGCACCTCGGAGGGTCAGGGAGGGAACGGTGGGTCTGGGAATTGGTGCTCTTTGCTGTAGGTGCTTGCTGCCTAGGCAGCTCCCACGCAGCATGGGGGAGCCCGTGATGGAGAGCATGCCGCTGCCCTTCCCACTGCCTGCCCTTCCTGCTGCCTGCCCTTCCCAGCCACATTTTGGTGGGTTTTTTCTTTTAACCTCCCCCTCCATGAAGAGCAGTGATGGTAAATTCATTAGCAGAGAATTGCGGAGCTGTGGGAGTGCAGGGTGCGGCGGGAGGTTGGGAAGGGAATAAGGAGGGGCCGTAGCGAGCACTCGCAGGAGTGTCGGGGAACGAATAGATGCTGCTCCTCCTGTCCCCAGGGCACCTACCCAGGCTCTGCAGGGCACTACCGTGGCCTGCCTGCCCCAGCATCTGTTCTTTATCAAGCAAGGCAGGGAAATGCTGTTATCCCCATTTTCTAGGCAGGGGTAAGACTTGTGCAGGTTCCCAGGTACCCGCAAGAGCAATTACTTGCAAGGAAATGTGTAGCCTTGGTCCTGCAGCCAGACCTCAGAGAGGGAACATGCCTATGGAGTTATCTCCAGATAATGTCCCAAAGCAAAGAGCAGCGGCTTTCCATGCCTCCCACTGCACTGTGTGGGCATCATCGCACAGGACGGTGCCTCTCCTCGGCCCCACCAGCTCTGCTGCGTGCACGCGGCTGCCTCGGGACCCCTCCGCTCCTATCGTGGAGGCGGCCTGAAAATGTTGGTCCTTGATCTAACATTTGACATGGTGCCTCAAGCAGCCTGCTCATGCCACGCCGTGCTTTGGCAGGGTGGAGTCAGAGCCGCGGTAGAAATGGCATTCCTGGCATCCCACGTGCTTACTGCTCGCTTACCGCTCGCTTCTCTCCCAGGTGAAGCCTTGGGGATTAAATACCCCGTGCAAGTGCCATACAAGCGGATCAAGAGCAATCCGGGGTCAGTGATTATAGAGGGGCTGCCCCCCGGGATCCCCTTCAGGAAGCCATGCACCTTCGGCTCGCAGAACCTGGAGAGGATATTGGCTGTTGCTGATAAAATCAAGTTCACCGTGACGAGGTATGTGGCGAGAGGTGTCAGCCAGCCTGCCAAGCTTGGGGGAGAGAGGAGGGGGCTGACCTAAATGCACCTCCTGCTCTGCCAGCCCCATTGGGGCAGGGCTGTAAATACTGTACATGCCTCCAGCCCCCAAGACAGCAATTAAGTCAGCAGCTAACAGTTTGACGAAAAGGAGGGGACCATAAAACAGAGATCCCTGCTCTTTCCTCCTGTCTGCTGCCCGGGGAGTTGGTGAGGAAGGCACTGGCAGGAGAAAATGGTGCTCACTGTGATGGATGCGCAGGCAGAGAAATCCCAGCCCCTTTTCCAGGAGGCTTGAGATAGGAAAAACGTTGCTTGGTTTATTGCTGGTGCAAGGCAGTGCTCAGGGTCCCACAGCGCTTGGAGAGGCGCCAGGCACTGGCCATTCGTGGCAGGGTCCTGTGGGTTTTGCAGCCAAAGGGGATGGACACAAGTGGGAGGGGAAAAGCACTTTATGAATGTATCACTGTAAGGTGAGACAGGGGAAAAAATGATTTTTTAAGAGTGGCTCCATCACCTTCTCGCTGGGCCACGCCTGTCTTCTTACCGACGGGGCACATGCTGCCCTGAGCAGGACCGCAAGGACCCCATCCCGCAGAGCTCCTGCCAGTCCTGCAGGAGTCGTCGCACAGCATGTGAAGGACAGGCTGATCCCTAACCTTCCCTAGGCTATGGGATGATGCTTGGTCCAGACGTATTGACTTCCCAGTGGCATTTAATTTTAAATCTCCTTTTTTCCTTATTTTTCACAGGCCTTTTCAAGGACTCATCCCCAAACCGGGTAAGAGATAACACCTTTTTGCCTAAGCAATGCATTGGCCAAGTGTTTAGCGGTGGTCAGGGAGTTATAAGCTGTGGATGGCGAGCAATAATTTTATCAGCTGGAGGAAGGTTGCCCCTGACCTCACTTTCCTGGGCTTCCCACTTTGGTTTTGTTGTTTGGTACATTTGCTGAAGTTTCCCTGACCGAGACAGCTGGCCTCAGCATCACCCATTGGTACTGCTGCTGTTGTCTTGAAATGATGGCATTTTTTAAGAGCTAAGCTAAGGCAGGGATCTGTGTTCCGTATTTAAGAAAGCATGTGCTTTCTTAAGCTTTTTTTTTTTTTTTTTTTTTTTTTTAATAAATAAGTGTTGCAATGAGTTGTCAGGTTTGGTAGCGAGGGAGGGTCGTGGGAAGGGGATGATCAACCACAGGGTCTGCATCAGGCTGCAGCAGCGTAGTAGTGATATCCCTCTCCAGCTCATGGGTATCCCGTGTGTGGATAGACTGGGGGAGATGTGGGAGAGGGGAGGGTGGAGTGTCGGGAGTGTGCTCTGTACCCAGCTGCAGAAATCACCGTCCCAGAGCCGTGTCCTTCCCCATGCATCTGCTGTGGTAGCTCTGCCTCTCGCTTCTAGGCTGCCCAGAAAAGATTGCTGCCGGCAGAAACATGGGTAAAAACCTGTCTTGGTTTTAAATGTCTGTAATTACAACTGTTGGAAGAGCACAGATGGGTGCAAAAAACGTTATCATCTTTATTGATGGCTTCCCATTTCCTTGGCCAGCCTCCATGGGGATGGCACAATTTAGGGAAGACAAATATGACAGAGGAAAACATTTATATGCCCTTATTGGGAACAGCAAAAAGGTGTTAGATGCCTGAGAGGCCTCTAACAAAAGGTGAGCTGTCTGAGAAATTCAGTCCAGAGCATGGTCCATGTGTCGACCCTCTGCATCCCTGTGTATGGCCCAGCCCAGACGATGGGGATGTCCCCGAGACCTCGAGGGACCTTGGACTTAGACTTCCTATCTTTTTGGTCCTAAGCAGCAAGGTGCTGGCTCACATCGGCTGGACCTTGAACGAGCCCTCGGTGAAATGCAAGTTTTGCAGAACTCTGGTTTTCCACAGAATTACATGGCTATAATGCTGGAGTAAGCCGAGGATGTATCCACTCCTCCAGCCACATCTTGTCTTGCCCTTCCTCTGCCGTAATCGGTATAATTACGTTAAAAGACGCTGATCTGACACAAATCACATTAACAAAGGAGCACATCAGAAGGCAAATACTTCAACCTGCCAGCTGGCTGGGAAACGCAGCCTGATAAATAGAGATGTAGAGGAAATTGATTTTCTTTTCGATGCACAACATTTTTTTTTTCCCCTCCTTCTCCAGCTGAATGCTCCCACCATGGGCTGGCCCATGCTAGCACAAACCCAAAGACATATTTTATTCTGTGTATTGTGGTACCCGAGTGGGCTTGGGAGGAGGTCACAGCATCCCTGCCAGGCTTGGGGCTTTGCTCCCTCTCCTCCCACGGGAATTTTAAATAAGAGCAGTCGCAGGCGAGGGGGTTTTCTTACTTGACATCTCAATTTGTTGTAGACTATTTTATATATTTGCTAAATCTTCGGAGACAATTCCAGGACTTATAATTATTTCCCGTAGTTAGACTACCACCAGAATGGCTCCTCAAGAAAAAAGCTGTTTGTATTTTGCCCCCCCAAAATCCCCGTTGACAGCAATTAACCTCTCGTCTGCTTTTCCACCCCATTACACTGAAGTGGATGGTGGCAACACAGTGGTACATTCACTGCATTGGCTTTGATCACTTTTCATCTGCCTTAACAAAATTAATGATTTCCAACTAGCCATAGATCATTAAAAATTTAAATTTAAGAGTGTTCTTTTTACCTCAATCTTGTGTAGTAAAGTCCTGCCATGTAAAATGAAGAGCAGCAGCAGAAGTGTGTGCTTGGCGTTAAAACAAAATCAATGAAAATCACTTTTATTTCGCAGAGGAGCATTAAAATGACAGCAATAGTTACTCCCAAGCAGGATGGCATTGCAAAGGTCTCTAAAAGCTGGAAAGCCCAGGAGATGACTCTATAAATATAAGGGAAGTCATGGGTTTTGTGGATCATTTTGACCAAAAATTACATGAAAAGTACGCATTTTAAGGGATATTTAATTTTTTAAAAATCATTTTGGGGTGATTTTAGTTGCTTTTAGGTTAAATTACAGGGTTTAATTTGCTTTAAACAAGTCGTGCACCTCCTGCATTGCGAAGAACATCCCACATAACTGCAGGACTGTGGACAACCAGCCTCCTTATCTCTCTCTTTTGAGGACACCCATTTTTTAAGTGAGACTGAAACAGATAAAAGGATTTCAATATAATCTGAGCGCCTCATGCGCTTTTTTTCTCAAGATAATCTGTAATTTCTCTGCTGAGATGATATCTCCCCTCTAATGGGTCGCAGTGTGTGTGGGGGGTGAGGCTGCCGGCGCAGAGGCAGCTGGGGGTGCGTGCCTGCGGGGATGCTGTTTGCAGAAGGTGTTTATTTGGGGGGAATGAGGCTGTTTTTTGGAAAAATAAAGCCAGTGGTGCTCCCCAGCGCCTGGAGGAGGTCAGTGGCTACAACCCCCTTCTGCAGTGCGGATTTGCAGCCTTTCAGAGGTGGGACGATGGCCCCAAGGTCGCCCGTGCCTCCGCCAGCACTTTACCCATATGGCTTCCTGGGGGCTTTAACCTGGGAGCACAACCCTCCTGGCATCCAGAGATTTTCCTTTTGATTTCCTGTTTCTTTTCTCCCCACTGCTGGCCTCTGCTCTGTGGAAAAAGACCTTCAAAACCCCTTTTTGAAAGCAGAGTGATCTTTCGGCATTAGAACAGAAGTGAGCGAGCAGGGGTGAAGCTCCAGCACTAGAAACACAGCGCTTCTCCTTTCTTTTCTTCTTTCCTGAGGCACAGAGATACAAAACAGGCTTAATTTGAGCCTTTGAAAAAAAAATATCAAGCATAAGTAATCTAGCACACACAAAAAAAAATCTTTCTGTATGTTAATTTTTATGTGCTTTGATTGAAAATGTACACCAGCTCCATCTGTCCTATTCCCCAAACTCCCTACCACCCTGATAGATTATTTCCCATACTCCAATTAATAAAGTAGGGCAGGCAGTGTTCTTTAATTAAAAAACCCACACATGCAGGCATCCTTTTTTTTTTTTTTTTTTTTTTTTAATCACAAGAGCACAATCTTCCTCAAGACTTTGATGAGATGTGCCTCGCGTTGGAAACTCCTAGCAAGAAAAAAAAGAAAAGAGGAAAGTGCTTGATGGGGCAGTGATGAGAGCTGAACGTGTCTTGCTCCATCACCAGGTTGCCTTTCGAGATCCATGCCCCTCTCCCTTCACCCTGCAGCCCCGATGTTTAACCCCCGCGGGAGCAGCCGGGTTATTTTTCCTTCTGACCTGCCTTCCTGTTATCTGGGGTAAATTATTTTTTTAGTGTTGAGCTGGTCAGTGTTTCTAGTCTGAAGGTGAAAATTCAAGCAGGTAGTGTGAATAGCTGTGGAGCTTCAAAGTCTGTTCATAAGCATCTCCATGATTCCAGTCACCTTTTTCTTTGCCTATTGTCTCCTTTCCCCTGTGCATGTGGCATCCTCGCACCAACGAGAAGGCAGCACCATCACCCAGCTCATCCCAGCCCTCGCGTTTGCTCTTGCCTTCCCCCTGCTCCCCGCCAGCCTCATACCCTGCCATGTCCTTCAGAGACCCCAGACCCTCTGTTTTTCACTGTGCTCATTGCATGGCAAGATGGGTGCTGCTCCATCCTGACTGTGGTCTGGCACTTTGGGATGCGCTCCATACCTCGCAGCACAGCGGCTGTGAGCCTGGTGGGATGCCTCCTATGGTTAAGGTTGAGCAGCACATGTGGGTTACCAGGACAAGAAGTTTTAATTATCTTTCTTAATCAGCATGATTTCATAACGGCACCTTGAAATCTTCATCTAAAACACTGCAAATGCCTTTGAGTTGCCGCCAACCAAATGAAAGGCTGTGCTGCCCTTCCAAGACTGTTTCTGATTCATATTGGAAAGATGCTGCTGTATGCTTCTCTTCCTCGCTGCCTGCCCGCACTCCTGCCTGCAGTCTGCCTGCGCTCCTCCCCGTGCTCCTGCCTGCGTTCCTCCTTGACAGCAGCTATGCCAGGACTGCGTTCCCTCCTGGCTTGGACTCTAGCTTGGCTTTCCGAGCACCTGCATGACCCATCTACATCTCTTCCCCTTTGCAATGCATATTTGCCTAAACATTTTGCACGGTGGGTGCTGCCCGCAGCGTGTCCACACAGGCAGGGTGTCACCCGGGGGACCAGGCGATGGGCAGCATCACTTATTTTCCGGCTGGGTCCTGCTGCGTGGCAGCAAGCAGTGGTGCTCCAGTTGCTTATGGCAGGATTTGTCTGCCTGCAGCCCCAGGCAGCGCAGGGTCCGGCTCAGTGCCCTAGCTCACTGTGGGCTGCACCGAAACATCGGCACCTGCAGCTGCCCTGCGCAAACCCCATGATTTCTGTTCTTTTGGTGTCACTGAACCGAAGCATTCTCCCCAAGCAAACAGTCAGGCCGGAGGCATCGGCAGAGCTCTTGTGCCCTGTGTGCTGCAATACCTGCTTTCCTGAGCCTGCTTGAAATGTTTGATGCATATTTTGAGCTACTTCAGATTGCTCGTACCTCTGCTCAGCAAATTGGGACGCGCACCCCTGTTCTCTTCCTCCCTATCCCCTCCAGTTTGTCAGTGCTTGCGTGCTGCAATTTGGCAGCAAGGGCCTCCCTGGTGCCGTGACCCACAGCCCCTGTCCCCCTCGCTGGCTCTCCCCACGGCCACTGGCTTTGGCATGATGAGCCGCTTCATTTCCACCTTTTGCCCATCATGCAAATCCTAGCTCTAGCCCTGTCGCTGCTGCTTTTCCCCAGGAAATTAATTTCTTTTTGATATCGTTCGTCACTTCAGTGTTGGTGGCGAGCACCAGCCTCTCCTTAGGGATCTTTTTCTCCCCTGTTACTGCAGAACTGACACAGTTTCCCTGTTCGCTTTTTATCTGCTTTAACCTCAGATATATTTTTTCTCCTCCGGCGCAGCCACGCAGCACAGCCGCTGCTGCTTTGGCACGTGCTGCAAACACTGCAATTCGGCCGCACATCCCTGGGCACATGTGGACCTTGAGCTGCTCAGGAGTGCGGCATAGCTCAAGGGATGCTCGCGGGCTCAAGCACATCCCAAAACAGGTCCCTGGTACACTGTGGAGAGCCCAGCCTGCCCGCCCAGCTCACTGGGCAGTTATTTAGCTATCAAAAGAATTTCTGTGCCAAGGGGCCTCAGGACCGGAGGAATTTTAAGCTGCTAGGGAGAGTGTCATCCTGGGTTTTGCTTTTATTTGTGACCAAGAAACCAAGCTGCAGCACTCATGGCTCTCTTTTTCTTTCTCTCTCTTTTTTTTTTTGTCTTCTTTTAACTTGCGCTGTAGCCCCTAGACGGATAACATCATTGGAAAAAGCCTATGCTGCCTTGAATGGTATGTAGCTCAGTTGATGCATCGTAGATGGTAGCAGACAAGAAATGCACTTGCATTTTAATATGGGAATGAAAATGTCTTAAACCCCCAAATTTCAGGTATTTTTTTTCCTCTCTGCTCTGTTTCCCTGTGATACCAAGAACTGAATGATGCAGGATGTGTTTAACAGTGTTTTATTGTTGTTGTTATTAATCCTCTCTGCATTTCTAAGCACTGTTGCTGCAGTCCCTGAGCATCGGTGCCAGTTCTGCTCCAGACAAAGCAACCTGCCACGTTATCCTCAGCTCATCCATGTGTCCAAGCAATTAATTTGTTAAAAAATCCACTTGCCGTTCACAAGGAGAGCTTGCACAGATTTGGATTGGGGTTTTTTTTGCTTTGCTTTAACACATACTCTGGGCCAGGGTTGGTGTGTAGTCATGTAGGCTCTGGGGATTTAATATCTATACTAATTTACAGGAGTAAAGTGCCTGTATCTGTGGCAGGACACAGCGTATCTCTGGCAGATCTAGCCTTAGTCCCATCAGCTGGGATTCTGGCCGCATGTCTAGATGTTAATTGCTTGCTCCCTCAAGTTTATAGCTCCGCTTTGAAAACATGCATATGTTGAGCTAATTCTAATTGTATTTAAACCTGAGTTACTGTGGAATAGCCTCAGTAAAGTCAGCGGGTTTATTCTGGATTTACAGAGGGGTATAATTGAATTGCACCCATTCAAGCTGGAAGGGGGGAAGAGGCATGTATTTATCCTCTTAAGATTCAGGGCCAGATCCCGACTGCTGTAAGCAGCCTACCCCAGCTGGGTGTTTCT